GGGGTTGAGGGTGCCCCTGTGTGTGTGTGTGCGGGGAGGAGGGGATGGGGTTGAGGGTACCCCTGTGTTTGCTGCCGGGTCCGTGACTGGAGAGGGAGTGCCTTGGGAGGGTGTCCAGGGCTGCCAGCAGCAGCTATGGGTGGGAATTGGTGAAGCTGCTTCTGTGAGTGAGGGGGGAAGAGGTGACTGCAGCTGCCACAGTTGTTACCAGAGAAGTGCTGGAGAGGGAGGCAAGGGAAGCCTTGGGCCAGGGGTTGCTGGCTCTGTTACCCACTCCGAGAGCAGGGTGATGAGCCCAGCCTGGGGATCTGGGGCTGCCAGTGTCACTGTCAGGCTTGTGTGAGAGTAGCTGTCAGTGTAGCCAGCAGTTCCGGATCAGGAGTATCGTAACAGCCTTCACGAGCTCTGCGATTGCAGGGGGAGCTGTTGGCTTGGGATCCCCAAGAAAGGTGCTGGGGAAAAGGGAGAGGCCTGGCAAGGGTGGTACCACCACTGCTGCCCCTGTGAGGCCTGGGGTCGCTGTGGGGATGAAAGTAGCTTGGCTGTCACTGCTGCTTTGAGCTCAGTGAGTCTCAGGAGTGATGTCAAAGCCGTCTCTGCTATAGCAAACTAAGTGCAGGGTGGTTGGGAGCAGGTGAAGGGGTTACAGTGCAAGCCTAACGCATAGAGGGAGACGGAGGCCTAGAGATGCCACTGCAGGCTCTGTGGGGCAGAGGTTTCTGCTGCTGGCGAGTAGATTTGTGGGTGCTTGGTACCTGACACGACTAGTACTAACATGATTTACTTAAGATATGGTTACTATTGTGAGACCAGGGTTGGTTGGGATTACAGAGCTGATTGCCTACCGTGACAAGTGCTACTGAACTGTGGACTGTGGGGATTGTAGGTTTCACTGCTTCTGTGAACTTGTTGAATCTGATTTTGATAACTGGGATCTATGTGTTTTTGACTGCCTTCAGGGACTGACCAGAACTGATATAAGACAGTGTAAGTCTATATGGGGGGTGGGCAATACTATTGACATAGATTCATAGATTGTAAAGGGCTGGAAGGGACCTTGCAAGATTGTCGGACCTTGCAAGATCCAACCCCCCTGCACCAGGCAGGAAAGATAACTGGGGTCAGGTGACCCCAGCAAGGTGACCGTCCAGTCTCCTCTTGAAGATTTCCAGGGTAGGTGATTGCACCAGCTCTGGAGGGAGTTTATTCATTTTATAGTAATAAACCATTTATGCAGCCGGTACAGGGGGACTTTACCAGTGCAGCTGCCAAACTGGAGAATTTCACATCTAGATCCAAAATTAATCCTGTATAAATATCTATCTCCCTAGGAGACGAGAGAGAACTAGGTTGTGAGTTAAGAGGGGCTTGGATACCAGCAGCGGCTGGGTCAGAGCTATTATGGTTGGTATTCTCCATATGAATTTGGAGAGAGAGAGATGTACCTTCTTAACTGTGATGGAGATACCACTGATTCCTGCCCAAGATCTAAGAGTTTGGAAACAACCTAAACTTGAAAACTGGTATTACGTTGCCACAGCTGCTCCCAGGAGATTTTTGAGACCCAGAGGTGTGGGATATATGGAGTGGGAGGATGAGTAGAGGGATGCTATAGTATCTGCTCTTTGGCTGATTGAGGATTTACTAAAAGCTGGGAAATAGCCATAACTACTTTGTGGCTGGAGGGAGGGAGTTGTATACGTTACAGAATAGCAACATATGCGTTGCTTTCCTGTAAGAAGCTGTGTATTGTGCATGTGGTGCAATATTTGTTGTATTATGTGCCTCACATTGTGATGATGTTCTTAAAAGTGGCTGTAAAAAAGGCTGTTTGTTACTCAATAGATCCAGGTGCTTTTTGACTTGCTTGCTTTGCACTGCCAAAAATACTTTGTTACTGCTTTTTACTATATAAAACCAGCACCTGTCTGCAAGAAAGAGGTGGATTCTATCATGGCTTTTACATACAGTTAGTAGGATTAACTGACTTTCAATTGGTAGTGTCATGACTGATGATGTGTTAGGTGCAAATTACTCAGCTCAGTGTTCAGTGATGAATTCAATAGTGGCGTTGGCAGCCGAGGTAGGGGACTCCATGCACGTATAAACAGAAAGTGGCTTTCCTGAGAACAGTTTATTCTGTTTTATAGCGACATCATCAAGGTCCACATTCTTTCACTTAGAAAATAAATTGATGGCTTTTACATCTGTGTTAGATCTTCTTCTTGACTATTATATCACATTAGAAGAGATGCTGAACAAATGAGGGAGGGCATTGCGAGTACTGTTATCTCAATCACTACATTTCAGAACAAAAGAGAGCTATACTTAGGACGCTTACTTGATGCTTGCTCAACTGGTGTTATTCTTCTATGAGTGCAATAGCTGTCAATAGAAGGGGAAATGATTCAAGTAGCAGCTTCCTCGTGGCTCTCCAAAGATGTGGTCCATATCATGAAAATGTTTCAGAACGTGTGAGGAGAATTTATTACATACAAAAAATGGAGTTTAAAATACACATTGTGGACTCTTATGATATTCAAATTAGTGAAGCATATATAAATGACTGATTTAAACATGCCATCTTGAGCTTTCTAACTTGCATGATTTTGCATTGTGTTTGAGAAATAACGTTGGATTGAATAATGAAAGATTAGTATTGAACCTAATGAACCTTACTCGGATATTAACGGTCTTCGGAGAGCTTAGTGCCCCAGAAGCACTGGGTTTTTCAGCTTCCTGAGCGCTGTAAAGAAAAAAGGTAAAGAAGAGTCTTTGGTTTAGATGCCAGTAAATCTTCCTTTCCCACACAGTTTGTAAGGTCTGCACGACAGAACTGGGTATTTAGGAGATCCACAAGAATACAGCTTGGTAAATGTTCATTATTTTGTTCTAAAATGTACAGTGATTGAGATAAGAGTATTTGCATCGTCCTGCCT